GGGACTCGATCCCGGGACTCCAGGATCATGACCTGAGCCGAAGGCAGTCGCTTAACCAACTGAGCCACCCAGGCGTCCCTTATCTTCTTTTTTTTTTATGATTTTTATTTATTTGACAGAGTAAGACACAGCAAGAGAGGGAACACAAGCAGGGGGAGTGGGAGAGGGAGAAGCAGGCCTCCCGAGGAGCAGGAAGCCTGATGTCGGGCTCAATCCCAGGACCCTGGGACCATGACCTGAGCCAAAGGCAGATGCTCAACAACTGAGCCACCCAGGCACCCCTCAATTTTATCTTTTAAATATTTTCTACTTCTAAACATCAACTCTCCACCACTATTTCCACTACCCTAATCCAAACATGTATTGGTTCCACTACAAAAACCTATCAACCTACTAGACTCGGAATTTTACTTTTGCTGGATTTTCAATCGTATTTCTATCACAATCAAGAACATCTTACTAAAATGGAAATGTGTGAGTCACGAACACACCACCTGTTTGAAATGTTGAAATGGCTTCCCAATTTTGGGGATGGAGAGAGGATCCCTAACTTGGTCTGTGAGCACTGGCCTAACGTACCAGCCTCATTGTGCTCCACTCTCTTCTCATTTCACCTGCATATTTCTTCTAAGGAGGAGGCTCTTAAGTCCATCTGCGGTACTCTCACCACCAACTTTGCCCTCCTAACACTTCATGTTTCAGTTCAAACCTCAGTTCCTCAGTTCACTGATTCCCACAGATTCTGTCAAAGTAAATCGTTACACACCCATAACTTGCTGTTTTTATTTCACATATTTTTTTAATATGATGGACACCTATCAACATCCACCTGGACCCAAGAGTGGGAGCAGTTAGGCTTATTTTGTTGTTGTTTCTTTCTTCTGCTAGCCTGTAGGTTCCACCAGAGCAGTTATTTATCTATTTTGCTCTCTTTTGCATCCTCGAACTCTGGAACAGTGCCTGGCACGTTGAACGTGGTAAATAAATGTTATTGAACGAATGAGTGATTGAATGAGAGAAACCACCGAAACCAGCAACAGACAAATCTAAAACGGTCTGATTTAGCTAG